ATTCCTTTAATACCTCCTAGTATCAACACTTGTTCCTGTGTATAGGCTACTAAGTAATCAAGAACTAGTAGTACTTCTTAATTAATCTTTCTTTTCTTACTATAAAAGAAAGTTACTTACCTTAACAACTGTTCTAAGTAGTAGAGTAATTTATCTACCCACTTTGAATGTTGATTATTAAGGTTAGTTAATATTATAAAGTAAGTATTAGAGTTGATGTACTTGTGTACTAGCTCTAAGTTTAAGTTCCCCTTAGTAGACTAGAGCTTTACTAGAATAGTAAAGATTTGTAACTAAGTTAGAGTTTTATCAAAGTGTAAGATATACCTACTTTACTAGTCCTAATCCTTAGGAATAGTAACAGAATAGAGTATAGAGGGTAAGACTTGTAGACTTGTATAGTGAGAGGGTAAAAGAGTCCTACTTTAGTCAAGCTACAAGTGTAGCCTAGTAGGTTAGTAGTAGAGTACTTCCAAGTACTAGGTAACTTAAGTTGATAAAACTATCTTTTGAGGGCCAAACTGGCCTCCTTATATACTTTTTACTAGAGTAATGTTACTCTAGTAACTTTAGTAACTCTCTTTACTGTTGTTCCTATGAAGTAGAGCTGGCTAATCCTTTAGACTGTATGCTACACTGGTTTGTGTCTTCTATTAATCTGCTGACACTAGTTTGTGTCTTCTTATATCCTAGATTAATCTTCTAATAACTCCTTTACTGTATTGTTATGTCTTCTATACTTCCTCTCATACTTCTAATGACTCTTTATGAGTCCTCCTAACTAGTTATACTGTGTAAGCTGTATAATACTTTTCCTATAAAGTGGAGCTCTCTATTATTCTTATGACTCTGTCTGACTTGACCTGTACTTCCTATACACTAGTTTGTAATACACTTTCTTATAAGGTAGAGTATTATAGCTTCTAATGACTCCTTATAACTTTTATAATATAAAAGGCTGTGCTTCTGTACTACCCCTAGAACTTACAACCAAAGTTCTAGACTGTCTTGTGTACACTCTAGAACTGACAACTAATGTTCTAGATCTTTCCCTAAGTCTTCTTCAATAGACTTAGTTTAGGAGACAATTATCCTTATTAACTTCTAGCCTTATCTTTATACTTCTGTATTTAATCATAGAACTTACAACCAAAGTTCTAGATTGTCTCATATATTCCTTATGTTGTTCTCATATAGTTCTCATGTTTATGACTTTATTACTTTCCTATCTATATGGGCAAAGTGTATAAAGGAGACTACTTTCCTATAGTCTCTCCTTAGAGCTCTCAGTTCCCTTTCCTTCACTAGTACTAGTCCTCCTCAAGTATAGAGCTTTAGAGTATTGGCTCTAACTCTTTCCTAGCTTTAATAGTCCTTTGTCTTTGTACAAAGTGTTTCTAGCTAGTTATGTAGTTTCTCCCTAAGTAAGTATAATATTTTCCTTTTATTTCTTCAGGTTTTCTCCTAGTCTTTTCCTTTATACTTCTTACTCTGAACACTATACTCTTTCCAGATCCCCTCTCTATACAAGCATTCTAAATGACTTATCTTTAGTTAAGGTTATTAAGTAATACTGTACTAGAGTATGTGTTTAACCTTAGAGAGATAAAGACCTTGTCCTCAGGTTTTGTTACCTTTTCCTAACTGACTTAGTACCTACTCCTTCCTGTCCCCTCTCTCTGCTAATGGATTGATCACCC